GGATCTGAAAGACGCGGTAAGTGGCGCACTTGATGGTGTCCTCGCGCGCTTGGTTGAACGAGCTCCAGTACTCTATCAGTTTTTTCTCGTTAATGCGTTGTATCCGCTCCTCGGGCACCTTTCGTTCCGTGTTGTCGGTCGAGCGCTTCGTCGTCAGCGTTACGGTGCTGTCCTTGCGGTTGATATCCCACCCCACGATGGTGTCTAAGCCGTCGTCGTAATCTGGTGCCTCCTCCTGGGAACCGGCTTGCGCGCCTGCGATGCGCGCACGCGAGTTAGCACAAACACTATAGGCCGTCACGAGGCAAAGTAATGTAACCTACCTGCTTCAGTTGGCTTCGCCATCATAGAGCCGACAACTTTACGGGCGAGCTCAGCTAGGACGACATCTTTCTCCTTGCCCCCGCTGGGATTGGATGGCTCCGGCACATCGGCCGAGTGTTTGCCGGGCTGACTGGCATCAGTGTCTAAGTCAATGACTGTCTTCGTCATGCCGGTGGGCTTCCTGCCCCTGCCGCGCTTCGCTCTGGGCGTCGCGTCGGTCGATGTGGGACGGGCGCGTTTCCCGGTCGTCGTCGCGGTGGTTCCGGGTGCAGGCAGCGTGCCCGACTTGGCCTGGCGGCTGCGGCTGGCTGTTGTGGTTGCGCTAGTGTGACCGGCGCCGGCTGCGTCGGCACCCTGCTTCTTGGGCGTAAGATTTATGGTCAGGCCGTGCTCACTCAAGTACCTCCGCACGAGCGCCTCGTCCGTGTCGAGCATCGCGCCCACCGGCTCCCAGCTGGTGTTGTCAGGGGCGGCCGTGTAGCCGACCCATTGTATCAACAGCCTGGGCCCCTTGCCCTTATTGCCCTTGCCCTTGCCCTTCTTGCCCTCGGCCGGCTCATGGTCCAGGATCTTGAAGATTCGGTAAACCCCGCAGTCGATGGTAACCTCGCGCTTTTTGCCGAGCTTCGCCCAGTAGGCCACCAGCTTTTCTTCGTTAGCGCGGTGTACCACTTCCTCGGGCACTTCCCGCAGCGTGCCGTCGGTCGACCGCTTCGTCGTTAGCGTTACGGTGCTATCCTTGCGGTTGATATTCCACCCCACGATGGTGTCTAGGCCGTCGTCGTAGTCTGCCTCCGCCTGGGCGCCGCGGGCGTCTTCCTGCGCGCCTTTCGTTTTTGGTTGCGACGCGTCCGTTTCCTTGTTAGTTGCGAAACGCACAGCCAACGGGGTTAAAGGCGGAATGGGCTGTAAGGGAACGGATTATTACCTGAATGGGGCTCTGTATCCGCTTGCGCCATGATTTCGTACCGTTTTGCAGATGTGAGCAGCAAATAATGGATGTCGGTTCGAAGTCGGTTCGCGACGCGTTGATTGAAAGTAGGCGCAAACAAAGCATAGCCGCGCTCCAAGTCGCCGTAGGCATTGCGCTTATCTTATCCAATGAAAACCTTGTCGCGCCATACGACAGCCAACTCGATTGGACACTGTAAGGTGCGCGAGCACAGTGTCAGCCCACACCCCGATATTTCGTTGACGAGTGCCAGTATTGTTACGCTGCCTACGTGCCGGGCACGCCCACGCGGCAGGCATCAGCACGGCGCCCTGCATCATCGCTTGGTCTTTGCACGATTGCCTGGCACTCGATGGTCCTGCAATGCGCCACGACCCAAGCAAAATACATGGCTCTGCACTGCGCCACGTGCACCATTTTGGGGGCTCTCTTGCCCAGCAACCAAATCTTGTGTTTTCCTCCGCACCTAAACACTCCTACCTTGAGTACATTAAAAAAGTCAAGTGCGCATCAACCTAGCACGCGTTAAGTACCCCAACGCGCAGAAGAAGCTCTCCGGCAGCCGCGTCAAG